ATTACCATAAATTTACTTACCTCACTTGCATAAAACCGAGCACTCAATTCACGTACTAACTGACAGAACGATCGGGAACCTAATCAAAACACCTCAGAATTAATACCGGACTATCACAAATTCAAGCTGAAATCGTCATTGGGATCATTCCTAATCACAATGCTATTTCTATCACTTTCCACATGATCAAATATCTCCAAATTCGTTCTTATATCACAAACTAATCACTTAAATTCCCGTTAATTGTTGGCCCTTGGGGTGTGAACAGTACCGGTGAACAGTGACCCCGACGTGAACAGTAGCTCTACTTCCACAAATTGGCCAAAACACTAGCTAATCTCACGGGATTTTTCTCCAAAAATCACAACAACCAACTAACACTCAATCACATAAATCTCACTTGAATTAAGCAACAAAACACACTTAAAACCCCTCTTAATTGCTACCGGAATTTCCCCATTTTTCTACCAAAATTCGGACATCACATGGCAGCAAACTAATCAAGCTAATTCTACCTTAATCAAGCTTAAAAACAATGGTTTAAGGCTGCCACATACCAGAATTTACAAGCAAGGAACCGGAGCTAGCAGATTGGGGAAGGCCGGCGGGATCTGCAGGGGGAACCTCACGGAACTACCCAAAAATTGGAGGAAATAAGAGCAATCAAAGTTAACCCAAGCCACTTCAAGGAAAAACAAAGGGATTTAATGGCTGTTTCTTACCCAAAACCCAAACAATTCGCCCCCACAACAAGAGCAGCCGGCGGACAGAGCAAAGCAGAGCAGATCCGGTTTCTGCAGAGAGGGAGGGGAAATTTCTGGGTTCTTTATGGGTTCTAGAACAAGAAAGGAAGGGGAAAATCCAAGCTCTCTATCGGTTTCTCAAAGGCTGGTGCCGGGTTCCCCTTTTTTTTTTTGTTCGGCTGCAGCGGGAAGAAAGAAAGAAGAGCAGACCCGCGGGGAAGAAGAAAGGAGGGAAAAAGAAAAAGAAAAGAAGCTGATCCTTATCCAATACTTTCCCCTTTTTAAGTCCCTCCACTTTCAGAATATTCACATTAGGCCCCAAAACAATCTTTTCTCACAATCAAGTCCCTAACTCACTTATTTATTCTAGAAAATTTTGGGGTATCACATTGCTAGTCAGATATAATGCATAAATTCTTTCCATCACGCATTAGTAAATCTTTTCCCAATTCTTCAAGAAACCATTCCCATGTCTCCCTTGTCTCAACCTCCACAATAGCCTATGCAATGGGATATATTTGATCATTTGCATCTCTTCCAATAGCGGTTTTATGTGCACTTTTAAGGAATGCACCATCAACTCCTATTACTTGTCTGCATCCAGATAAGAATCCTTTCTTTAATGCACTAAAACAGACGTATATCCTCAAGAAAACATGATTCATATCTGCTGTTGGTTTAGCACATTGAAGTGCAATATTTACTTCTAGATCTTTTGACCTTAATTTATTTGCATAGTCAAATAAGACTTTGTATTTAGCCTCAGCAAAGCAATCAAAGGTCTTTTTCAACTTTATCTTAGTCTTCTTACATTGCACAGGTGTTAACTCCACTCCTAAATAATTCTTAATTTTAGTAAAAAATATCTTTTTTATTAAAATGTAGAGTAGATGCTCCTTTTGTCTTTACCAAATGCTGGACAACAATAGATGATGTGCAAAGTTTGTTGGTAACATTCACTATACATGTGTGATCAAGATTGAAGGTTTTTACCATCCAAGACTCAGTAGGATTGTCAAATGCCAATAGTATCCTCCACTTACAATTCTGATTATTGCATACTGCCCTTATCCTTTTACTATCATTTTTTTTCCCATGCAATCTCTTTCTCTTGTCTAATGCTCAATTGATCCACCACTTTTTAAAATTGTTTCTTGTTCAGAAATATCATGCCAAACTCAATTTTTGGAATGCCTTCAACTTCTTTATACACTTTGTGTCTAGCTTTCCTCCTCCTACCATGGTCTACTTCCTCATCCTCTTCATTACTTGTGGATATGTAACTCACTTCATCATCAGATTGTGTTTCTCCATCATCCTCATCTTGGACTCCTACATCTACATTACCTACAATGTGAAATTAACAACAAATATAAATAAAGCAAATTAACTCTAAATGAATAATATAATTTACTAACTAAATATAATAGCTGCTCTTGCAGAACTAGAAGCAACCCCAATTTGATTTGCTCTAAAATTCCTTAGATTATCCCTTGCTAGAATAGTCTCATCATCATCATTATCAGACAACCTAGTGACATCTTCAAGGCCACCTTCATCTTGAGCTTCTTCAGCCACTTTGCAACCATCAGTTTGGACCTTAGCATCATTTTGGACCTTAAGACCAGAAACAAATTGATCCTCTTCCTCTTCGCCATTATTTCTTTCACCAACAGTGATAGAATCATAGTTCAGTCTATATATAGACAACAAATGTGGGGACCAAAAGTAACTTTAAAACAAATATATAAACATCATAGATCCTAATGTCCTTTATTTCTCTCAATGTTACTCATATACCCGACCAACCCAACCCTTGTTCCAGAATATTCTAACATGATAAAGCCAAACAATGAAGGCATTGTAAGACAATTGAGAATCAAGAAACAACACATATCGTATCCTTGATATCCATAGACTCCAAATCTATAACTTCTTGAGGTACAACTTTTGGTTCTTTGGGGTTCTTTTGCCTAGTATAATGGTCCATGTGAGCCTAGCTTTCTAGACTAAATTGAAGAGATTTGGTGGAGATTTATGCCTAAAGCAAATTGCAAACTTTGTAGGTTTTATGGTTTGAGATCAAACAAGGAAAGAGAAAGAGAAAGGAAGAAAGTTTCATCTTTGCAAACCAAAACCCTAGAAAATATAGAAATATTTTAGGTGGACCCCACTTAAAAGGAAAGGTGAAAGTAGTGGGAATCTTACGTGAATAACAAAAATGCCACGGTAAGTAAGTTATTTTCCACGTCATTAAAGATTTAAAACAAGAATTAATTTCATGGTAACTTAACATGCCATCTGACACTTCTATCGACGAAAGGACTAAATTGGTCCCAAAAATTAAAGTTTAGAGATAATTTTATTATTTTTTAAAGTTCAAGGGTAAATTTGGTTTAAAAATGAAAGTTAAGGAATCAAATTGGGTATTTAACCTAAAATAATAGTTTGTAATCACAATATATGGAAATGATTGCACCGGGAAGTTGCATTAGTCGGAATGTCTGTAGAATGTTGCAAGAGAAGTGGGCAAACCAAAAATAGTCTTGTATAGCTATATAAACATTTTGCGCATCAGGTGGGGAAGGCTATATGTGTTGTTTAGAAAGTAGAATAATGTAAGATTGGGCTCACTGCTCCTTTACTCAAAATGTAATAATAATAATTCATTTTGCTGTAAAAAAAAAAAAATCTGGAAATGATGTGATTAATATCAACAACACCATACTACGAATTTTATTTCTTAACAACAATATCAATGAACATAACATAAAGTATCGTCCTACATATCATAAATGACAAAAACATTAATTTACATGCATGAAATATATGCATACAAAAAATCAAAATCAAATAAACAAAACATTATTCACATATAGTTGTAATTAAATTCACATGTTTACTCTCCATCTTCTTTGAAGTTGGTATATTAAACCTTAAAAAAAGAAACAAAGTTACTCTAGTTATCTCGAATTATTTGTAATTATAACTAAATTAAGTATTACCTTTTTTATTTGACCCTTATTTATTATTGTTTTTTGCATTGATTAAAACTAATATAAAGTTCTCATCTATTAATGGATTATTTTTTTAAAATGTTATAGTTACAATACCACGTAATATTGTAAACTTACAGCATAATGTATCATTATATAATTAATTGTTTTTATTTAAGGGCTTATAACTTAATATATCATTATATAATTTTTTTTATTTAGAAGTCCACTTATAATATTATAATATTTACTCATTTAATATCACGTCATATTCATTTAATAACACGTTATGATGATAAGTAACTATAGTATTGCCTTTATCTTAGAAGAAACCTTTTAAATACATGTGGTTGGAAGTGAATGGGTTGGAATTTAATCATTTCAATAAATTTTATTGATTCAACCTAGTAGATTAAATCATTAAAATGGGTAAAAGAGCAAAAAAAAAAATTATACTTCATTTTTGTAAGACCGTAAACAATGAATATATAAATTTAAGGATTCCTTATTTTGTAGTCCAGACTATGTTGAACTACAAAATTAGGACCCTTAGATGGGAGAGAAGAGCCTAATATTAGGAGGCCCTCTCTCAATTAAAAGGTTAATATTTTGTAGTCTGGTATAGTTTGAACAACACAAAACATGTTTTTTTTTTAAAAAAAATATAATATATTGATTTAATAAATAAGGACAACAAGGAAAAGCTACTCATTACAAAGTAGTTTTTAACTATTTATTAATGTGTGAAATTAGTTATGGTGAAAAATAATTTAAAACATGGGATAGATGTTTTTTCAAAAAGAAAAAAAACAAATTCCGTAAAAAAATTGAGAAAAAAATTTTTAAGCAATAATTTTCTCACTGATATGTTTCATTTGTGCTGGTAGGTATTGTTGTGTGAATGTGTAGATCGACGATGATCCCTCTGTGTGGTTTGTGAAAGAGAAAAGAATGAGAAAGGAGCAGCTGACCTAGGAGAGAGAGAAAGGAGATGTGTTTTAAGATATGTGATAAGGCTTTTGTATCAACCTATAGTTCTTTGCGTCACCCAATGGCCTCACAAACCAACTTAGTCAAACTTTTGATTTTTTGTTTCAATCCCATGATATGTGAAAGGTTGCTTCCACTGCTCCACTTTGACAAATTGGTTCTCATCTAAATTTGATAATGACCCACGTATGAAAGGTATAACCTCAAGGGCATACTCATTCGGTTCCTATTTAGGATATCATTTAATGTGTTTATTTTTATTTTATCTTTATTTTTAAAAAATAATTACAATATATATTAAATAAGAAATCTTATTTAAGTGATACTTAAATAGAGATAAATAATAAAATTTATTAATAAATTATTACATCTTTATTTTATTAGTTAAAAAAATTAACTAGTTCTATTAAAAATAAAGGGAACGAGTAATTTTTTTGTATGTAAAGTACAATATATATACCTTACAAGTATATAAATTAGGGTATATATATTAGGGTTGAGCATCGAGTACGAGTATATCTGATATCTGTGGGTACCTGACTTGTTTGGATAGATATTTTACTTATACCTATGAAGAGATAGTTAAATACTGGATATGAAAAATGCATACTTACTAAGTATTGGGTAAGTATTGGATATGAGGATCAATACTTGCATACTTGACCTATATACCTGACCCATATACCTAACCTGCATATCTGACTCATATACTAACCTATATTCTAGTTTTATATGGTTAATTTGTAATAGAATCTTATGAAATTAAAATATTTATGTTTTCTTTTCTTTTCTTCTGTCAATGAAGATTCAACTGAAAGAAAATCATGTGGATTTTTGTTTGTATTTCTTTTGTTATTGTATATATAAACTTGTCTATGTATGAGTATATATGCTTACGTATTTTGTTTTATATATAAACTTGTATTATATGTATGAACTTGTAGTTGTATATTAGGTTATGTACTTTTAGTCTCAAATTTAACAAGTATAAAAATACACATGTGGGTATAACTTTACCTAGCAAGTTGGGTATCGAGTATAGATTTTCAATACCTAAGTAAGCAGTAGATATTGAAATCTTGTACCTGTCACTGTTCAAGTCAAGTACAGATATGCATAAATACCTGACTCATACCTATCCATGCTCACCCATTTTATGTAACCACTTTCATGTATCCAATGAAGACGAGATCCAAGCCCAAAACTTTAAGATTGAGAAGGGTGTGAGGGTCCATAATGGGCCTGTTGGCTCACTAGATGGTATGGGCAATGATGTTCCTATTCAGGCCCAATTATGGTGCGACCCAAACCAAGTGTATGGGTTAGAAGATCTTATGCATCATTCTATTCATGCCCATTTTGAGAGCTTTGAGGAGGATGACGGTAGTTCATTCTAGAAAGGATTAGAGAGTGATTCAGGACAACCAGCAGATTGGATGACACGATGGGATAGACAGAGGCTGAAAAAGAGGAAAAAGAAAAAAAGGTAGGCACCGCTCGTGCCTGTTAGTGTACAAAGAGGCCCCAACAGCTGCTGTAGACTGTAAAGTGAGGTGGAAGTGGAGGGTGCAAAATGACTTCACGAGCTGCTCACCCTTAGCAGCATATATATATTAGGTTATATAAAATGTAAAGTTACATAAAAACCCTTAATATAAAACAAAATTACAAAATATGCCTATTTCCTACA